AGAGCGCACAATGGCGATCCGCGCGAAACAGCCCAAAGCCCTGCAGCTCCAGAGCGCAGTCCGGGATCCGCTCATTTAGCCAGGTCTCAGTGAAGCAGAGGACACAGGATGTGGCGAAGTCCTTGTTTCTTCTCATGAGCAGGCTGAGTTCGTCCATCTTATTGCCCAGTGAGCGTACGTTGGAGAGAAAAATGCCGGGGAGAGCCGTGCGCGCTCCTCTCCTCCTAAGACGCACGAGCAGGCCTCCTCGCTTTCCCCTTTTACGGGCCCACACTTTTTTGGCTAGAACATGAACTAAATCAGCCGCAGATGCCAAGAAAACAGGCAATAGGTCCATGGGAACGGTGGGTCGGATGTTCATAAGTTCCTCACGGGTGTAGGAACAGCCAGATGCACAGTTAAAAAGTAAAAACAAAAGAAAAAGAGAGCAGCAAAGAGCCATGTCGACCGTACGAGGCGCCATCTTCGTACGTACCCCTTAAATGGATTAAGGGGTAGAAAATAGATCCGTGTACTCTTCGATCATTAGTTATTCCGTTTCAAAATAAAATCAGAAAAACAAATTACGTGGTTGTTTTATTGTATTTCCATTTTCTAAATTAAATTGGAAAATCAAAACATTCTAAATAAAATATTCACCCATTTCTTTGCTATGCAGTGGAAACAAACACTACTAAAACAACTTCCATTATTTTGTTTGATATGCTACCGGAAATGACGAGTGGTGAGTGGTGACGAGTGGTGAGAGACGGAAACAACTGCAAGCTGCACTCAACCATGGATCTATTATAATAACTGGATAGGGTATTACTAGCTTGTAGCTGAATAACCCATGTGCTCAGGGGATTCTCGCGGTACTGCAGACTGAACCAGACTAAATTCACGGGGCTACCCAGAAATTTTCCCCATAGAACTCAATGCATATTAAAACAGCTCAACCTCAGCTGACAGAGAACCTACAGCTTTCATAAAGGTCGGATTTTGTGGGGATTTTAGTGTCCCTTGTCATCCTGAACTTTTTCTTCTTCTTAAATCCTTCGGTTTTGTTTAAATCCACACTTTAGTGCCACAAACTCTACTCGTCTGGCTCTCGCTCTAACTCCCGCTCTGATGAACTGCTCTGATTGGTCAGAGCGCGGCCGATCCCCTCTGTGCACGTGAGTGAGACCCGTGCACAGAGGAGCACGGTTTCTTCGGTTTCTTCTTAAACCGAAGGATTTAAGAAGAAGAAAAGTTCAGGATTATAAGGGACACTAAAATCCCCACAAAATCCATCCTTTATGAAAGCTGTAGGTTCTCTGTCAGCTGAGGTTGAGCTGTTTTAATATGCATTAATATGCATGCAGTTCTATGGGGAAAATTTCTGGGTAGCCCAGTGAATTTAGTCTGGTTCAGTCTGCAGTACCGCGAGAATCCCCTGAGCACATGGGTTATTCAGCTACAAGCTAGTAATACCCTATCCAGTTATTATAATAGATCCATGTGTGAGACCCACACACGCGTGTTTGGCGCAACGCATTATGGGAGATCATCCACTGCGCAGAACCGGGAGGACCAGACGATGCCCAAATACAGGCGAGTTTCCCATAGATCTTTGCGAGTTTCAGGCAACTTCCGCTAATCTTTCAGCCCCCATGCCGTCACAAAGCGCCACTGAGCACAACCATTCATTTGAATAGGGCGCCATCTTGGATCGCCGGGGCCTGCACTCAACTCAACTCAACTACACGACAACAACTCGCGCTGTTGTTGAGCTCGCCCCCAGGCCCGAGCTCCAGGGGTAAAATGATTACAGCGCCATTTGCACCTGCGGACTGTCCTCCCCGGCTTGTAGGCTGCAACCCACTCACTGCCTGGAAGCTGCCTCAGTCCTCGTTCTACAGCCCGGGTCCTGCTCCGCGGGGCCTTGGTCCTCATTCTGTAGTTTAAGTCCTGGATCTATAGCCCGTCCGTCCATGTGGAGCGGATCCCTTTCTCAATATCTGGTCTCCCAGAGGTTTCTCACTTTTCTCCCACTGGGTTTTAGAGTTTTTCTTTTTATGCAGGAGGGTCTATTGGACAGTTGGTGTCTAACAAAAAGGACTGTGATGATCCAGGACACTTTAACATTCTACAACATGTATGACATTTGTGTCTACTCCTTATGGACCAATGGTTCTGTGTTTTTATCATTGTGCTTGTGCTTAAAGTGTTATTCTCTGATTTGTGTTTTGAAAGCTATACAATGTATTATGTGCTTTGGATTTGCCTGATATTTATTAAATTTGTAAAATTAAGTCTCGATGCTCTTTCAATATTATTTATGCATTTATTTGACAGGGACGATTCAGACACAGTCATAAACAAAGCTTGCAGGCGGTCTCCCATCCAAGTACTAACCAGGCCTGACATTGGCTAGCATTCGAAATCAAACAAGATCGGGCATTCTCAAGGTGGTATGGCCGTAAGCACGGGGGTATGGAGCAGCGTGCCTCCTGACCCTGCTGCTGCGGTCTTCTCCTCCCCCAGAATGAGCGCTCATGGGCGGATGGGAGGCGTGCGGTCCCCCGGTGGTTTCCAAGGGCCATAACTTTCTGGTCCTTTATCCCCCGCGCGTCAAATTCACACCGCGGGTGCCCCGGGACCAGGGGAGTCCCTGGGTCCCACCCCCGCGTCTGTAGCCCCCCTGGCTCGGCTTTGAGAAGCCCGCGAGGTCTCTTCTCTCTTCGGGTGTCGCAAATAATAATAAAACGAAATAATAGTAATGCCATAATTCTTTTGAGAATTTTAAACAACTAGAGCCAAAACAACACATTGATATTGAAGCATAAAGGATTTATTTTTTTATTCAAGTTTAGAAAAGGAAAAGAACAATAAACAAATGGAAATTTTGATTTTCTGATTTTATTTTGAAACGGAATAACTAATGATCGAAGGGTACACGGATTAAAATGGATGGATAAATATATATATATATCGTATTTGAAGATGAACTTCTAGGAGTAGAGCAATTTTTTTAAATGTGGTACGTTGTGTTTTGATATTTTGGCATTATGTCTATTGTCATTGTCTGATGTCTTCTTGTTATGTGTTTTGTACTGTTAGTGTGAATGTTGTATGTACATCCTGTTTTGTCATTTTGTTGCTGAGCTTTGATGTATTTTGTGAAATTAAGACCCCAGGAAGAAGAGCAACTGTTCTAACGGTTGCTAATGGGGATCTAATTAAAACAAACAAATAATGACTAAAAACATAGGGACATCAGAGCCTGGACTAGAAGAGCTGAGACCACAAGGGCATCAGGTGCATGGGACTTTAGAAACTTAAGCCTGTGTCATACATTGCTGCAGAGATGATCTCAGATTCCCTGGGGTCAAGCACTGGTGTTGGCTAGAAGCATGGTGGGAATGGAGCGTAGGCGGAGCAGGCGCCAGTGCAGGAGCTTGAGGAGGTGCTGGGGGTCAAGAGCTTCAGGAAGGGCTGGTTAGAAGGAAGTGGCTGCTTTTAAACTGCTCACTTTGCTGTCAGTGGTTGGCAGGAAGGCTGGCCGAGCTGTGTGATTGGCTGAGGCTCGAGGCTGGCAGAGCTGTGTGATTGGCTGAGTGTTAATGCTGATATTTAACCACACAGTTGAACCTGACAAAATCTCACAAAACAGACAGACATACTTAATCTTTTAATTGTTACCCGGTACAAGGAGAAAAAGTCTTGACAGAGACAGGGCACAGAGCCCCGTCTCTCTAAGACCAGATCTGAAGCTCAGTCTGTAGCTGCTTTCACACTAGAAGACACACCTTCATATGCAGATAGGAAGGAAGTACCAACACAGCAAAAGACACTCCATATTAGCGTATACAAAGCCTGCTTCCTCCTGATGTTTAACATACGAGTCCGCCAGACTTCCAGGAGTCTTCCCGGAGCTAAAGTGAATTACAATACAGACAATATTTTAGCCACATTTTACTTTTTAAAATGATAACTTATTCCAATGACATTGAGGCTGGAGGCTGGCCATGGATGGGGTGAGAACTGCGGCATGCGGTCTTCCCAGTCTGAGTTTGAGCTTTTGCTTCATGACAAAAAAGCACCAACACTCTCATTGACAGAGACAAGACACAGGTCCAAAACATTCACCAACCCTCTTCTCTCCCCTCATATAGAATTAGACTAGAAATATAGTTTGTTGCTAGTATTGGAAAACCCTTTGGCTGAAGGCGAAATAACTTCCAACCACATTCTTCCTTTGCCTCTTTCTTGCACGTGTCATATCAGTTCAGTCTGTTCAAACCACCATTGCTCACTTCTTCTGTTCTGAGGCATACTGAAGCAGACCAGAGTTGTTTGCCCTTAGGGAGACAGGTGGGGGAGGGCCTCCGCATGTGCATATGTTTTTGGATAACGGATATTAGTGAACACTTTAAAAGGGGTGATGTCAGTGTGAGGCTGCTTTTCCAGTAACTATATTCTGTAAACTGGAGCGAAGCCCTGGAGAACAGGCAACAAATGTGTGTGTAACTGTGTAAGGATTAAATTGGAAAAAATATTGTTTGGGGATTGTATTTCTACGGAGTTTACATGAGCAGCTGATCACAACGTCAGCTCGAGTAATGTGCTGTAGTTAATAACTTGACGGTGTCTGTGCATCATCTTTCCTGCACCAGATCTCTCTGACAGGGTGTTTTCCCTGTGGAATATTGAACAGGTAGACATACCCAATATATTTTTTTCGTATATGTGTCACACAGGGTGTGAGGTTCTTTTTAGATCCGTTTAAAGAAACACCACTGTTAAATAACAAGCCCAAGTAAAGCAGGTTCACAAGCTTTAATATAACATGATATAAAAAGTCTTAAAATATACGACTAAAAGCTAGTGTTAAAATACATAAAAGTCAGTATAAAAAAAGATTGAAATCTGGAGCTCCAAAGACCGCAGTCTGTCTCTAAGACTGCGCGCGTGTCCCCGCCTCACGCCGGTATGGGCCCTCGGTTGGTGTCTGCGGAAGAAACACAATTCCGCTGTCAGCTTCTCTCAAAGCTATAGTTCATATTATGCGCCTTGTAGAGCTTATGGGGCCGTCCCTTTAGTCTGCGCTTAGAGAGCGTTGTATAAATCAGCGGTGGTCCCCAGGTCGCGTCCTCTTCACGCCGCCTCAGACTCACACGCTCCCGGTTCCTCCAGAGCACTGGGCACAGTGAAGCCTCAAGGTAGGAGGGGGAAATGGGGCAGAGAGCCAGACCACAGTACAAGTACGGAGTAAGTATATTACACGTCCCTTTACTTAGCTCGTGTGGGCGTTTCTGGGTCTCCTGCCCCTGCAGCCTGGTCCCGCGGATCTGCTGCGACCTGGTCCCGCGGATCTGCTGCGACCTGGTCCTGCTGATCTGCTCCCGGCCTGGTCCCGCTGATCTGCTCCCGGCCTGGTCCCGCTGATCTGCTCCCGGCCTGGTCCCGCTGATCTGCTCCTGGCCTGGTCCCGCTGATCTGCTCCCGGCCTGGTCCCGCTGATCTGCTCCTTGCCTGGTCCCGCTGATCTGCTCCCGGCCTGGTCCCGCTGATCTGCTCCCGGCCTGGTCCCGCTGATCGCTCTCTCTTCTTCCGTGTGGAATGTCTCTTGTCAAAGTTTTGTTTCCGCACCACCAGACTCCTCCCCCATTCATTCATAATTCCCTTTTTTATAGTGGGAAAGAGCAGCGTCAACCAATTGCTGTCTGGGGGTGTGGGCTGCTCCACAGCCTCTGCCGTAGTCCAATCTACTCAGTCCCATGCAGGCAAAACACTGCAAACTACACTAAAATACACACTTGGATGCAAAAGATAACAACCGAAAGAGGACTACAGCTAGATTAGATGGGTGCCACTCACATTCCCCCCGTCTATAATATTGGTCGTCCCGATCAATCTCAGTCACCATATCTGACAGGTCTTTTTCCTATATTTGTACGTTGAGACCGTCGTGCACTTTGGGGGAACTGTTCTGAATGCTCAGGTGGAGTAGCAGGCTCTGGGCTCCTTATAATTGCTGGAACTGGGGCCCTGGCTGATTCTGGGAGGCAAGACTGAGTGCGAGTGACCAGTCCTGGGAGCCACCATGTCGGAGGGGGCTGACACATTTCCCTCGGTGGTTCGGCCGCTTCTGGGGTTGTAGACTCCTGCCTGGGCTCCAACACATTTAACGGACATGGCCTCAAGTTATTTCTGTGAATGGTGCGCGTAGGAGAGTCTTTACCTTCGGGGCGTATGACATACACTGGGTGGTCTTTGCGCAGTGGAGCCACGACGACATAGAGTTCTGGGTTCCATCTGGGGGACAGTTTCCCACCTGCTCGGCGACGAAAGTTCCGGATGAGGACACGCTCCCCCGGCAACAGGGGCGCGAGCTTTGCCCTCCGGTCATAACGCGTACGGTCATTTTCTTGTCTCAGTTCAGTCTTTTGTTTTGCCACGCCATAAGCATGGTTTAGTGCCTTTTGGTGTCCTTTGACCCATCCTTCTAGAGAGTGACGGTCAGCAGTGGGCCCCAAACCTGTGGTCCAATCTTCCGGCAGCCTTGCATGTCTCCCAAAAACTAAGTAGTGGGGGGTCAAACCAGTAGTCCCATGGGGGGTGTTGTTATAAGCCTGGACAAGTGCTGGTAAGTGGGTATGCCAGTGTGCCTGTTGAGTTTCCTCCAAGGACCCTAAGAGCCCAAGGAGGGTTTGGTTAAACCGCTCGCAAGCCCCATTCCCTTGTGGGTGGTAAGCAGTAGTACGGTCCTTCCGGCAGCCGTAGAGTTGACACAGTTGGGCAATTAACGATGATTCAAATGTAGCCCCCCGGTCGCTGAGAATGCGCTCTGGACATCCGAAAAGATGGATCCAATGTGTGTATAACGCACGTGCTGTGGTCTCTGCTCCCTGGTCTCTAGTGGGGACAGCAACAGCAAATTTTGAAAATAAATCAGTCATAACAAGAATGTATGTGTACGGGTCCCCCTCTCGTCCCAATGATAGATAATCTATACCCACAATCTCAAATGGGTATGAGGTGACGATTGGTAGTAGGGCAGCCCTCCCGTCGGGTCCTGGTTTGTGATATATACACTGGGGGCAGTGCTCTGTCCACTCTTTCACATCCTCTGTCATTCTAGGCCAGTAGCACCGTCGTCGTAAGGCCTCCAGTGTCCTTTCGCAGCCAGGATGTCCCATCTTTTCATGGTAAACCCGCCACAAACTTTCAGTCTCATGTTCTGGAATAATCTGTTGAAAGATCTTTACCCCTGAGCCTGGCTCAACCCATACCCTTCCAAGAACATTGTCTTTAAGTGAAATGTGGTCCCATTCCTTCAACAATCGTTTTAAGTATGGGGATGTGTTGTGTACCTCTGGTAGAGTCTGCTGTTGCCCTTTCCATTGGCGTAGCAGGGCCAGGTCTGGGTCTTTGGCTTGTCGCTCTCTCCACTCTCCCATATCCAGCCCGATTTCAGTCTGGTCTGCGATAGTCCTCAACACTCCGGTGGCACCTTCAGGCAACCTAGACAACGCATCAGCATTACGATTTTGTACTCCTGGACGGTACTTTATCTTGTACCTGAAGTTTGCCAACTGGGCTGCCCATCGCTGTTCCACAGCCCCCAGCTTTGCAGTCTCCAGATGCACTAGAGGGTTGTTGTCGGTGAACACTGTAAACTCTGCGCCGTATAGATAGTCCTTAAACTTCTCTGTGACCGCCCACTTCAATGCCAACAATTCCAATTTAAAGGAGCTGTAGTTCTGATCGTTACGCTCTACAGGTGATAAACTGCGGCTGGCATAGGCTATCACACGTTCCTTATCATCTTGGACTTGTGCCAGGACCGCCCCCAATCCCTCAAAACTAGCATCGGTATATACACGGAAGGGTTTAGAAAAGTCTGCATAGGCCAGTATTGGGGCATGGAGTAACGCCGTTTTTAGCTTGTCGAATGCACCCTGACATTCTACAGACCAATTTACCAGAGCCGTCTTAGGGGTATTAGTTGTATTCCGTGTGAGGGCGTTCAACGGTATCGCAATTTTTGAAAAGTCTGGGATGAAGCGCCTGTAATAGCCTGCGAAGCCAAGGAAGGACTTTACCTGCTTCACTGTTTTGGGTGTGGGCCACTCTTTCACGGCTGCAGTCTTCTCTGGGTCAGTTGCTACCCCTTGCTCACTTATTACATGGCCAAGGTAAGTCACCTTCTGCTGGAATAGGCTACACTTCCTGGGTTGTAGCTTCAGCCCATATTCATCCAGCCGCTGGAACACTTCTTCGAGATGGCGGAGGTGGCTATCAAAATCTGGAGAAAACACCACAACATCGTCAAGATATATTAACAATGAGTCATTTACCAGACTTCCGAGGCAGCGCTGCATCAGTCGTTGGAAAGTGGCCGGGGCATTACACAGCCCAAAAGGCATGCGTTCGAACTCGTAAAGGCCAAAGGGTGTGGTAAATGCGGTTTTCTCCCGGTCCGCCGGATCCATCTCCACTTGCCAGTATCCACTTGCGAGGTCCAGCGTAGAATACCATTTTGCCGCCTTCAGCCCTGTCAAAGATTCTTCAATGCGTGGCAATGGGTAAGCGTCTCTATGGGTAACCGCATTGAGCCTCCGATAGTCCACGCAGAACCTCCAGCTCCCATCTTTCTTCTTCACAAGAACAATGGGGGCTGCCCATGGGCTGGCACTCTCCCGCACCACTCGAGTCTCCAACATGTTTTTCAACAACACTTGGAGTTCTGTATACAAGCTCGGGGGGACGGGTCTGTACCTCTCACGGCTAGGGTGGGCGGGGCCTGTCGGTATTCGGTGTTGGACTGCACTCGTTCGGCCAAAGTCTTCGTCATGGCATGAAAACACCCTCCTCCATTTATTCAAGAGCTCCGCCATTCTCTGTTGTTCCCTCGGGTCAAGGCCCTGCCCCTGTAGAGATAGAACTGGGTGAGCATCTTCATCTGCAGTCAGGTCAGTCCTCACACGCCTTACGGTTACTTCAATAATGTCCGGTGCCACACTGTCCAATACCAGTTCCTGCTCCCCTTTGATGTCTGAGGCAGCCACTTCAGATACTTGAGCCAGGGGTTGGCGTTGTGGCACCTCCACTGGATAGGGGTTAGGGTTACATACCCTACATGGGACCCGGCCACTGTTGAGCCTCGTCAGGGTCCGTCCCACACACCACTCTGAATCACTATTAGGCAGAGGTTCAACAAACACATTGGATTGGTCTGCAGGATTCCCACTCACCTGCAGCCATAACACCATCTCAGAGAGGGGAGGAATGGTTATGGGGGATTGGCGTGGTAGCTTGGCAACCCCCTGGTAAGCTGGTGCAGGACTCTTCATGGACACCCTCTGGCACTCCGCAAATGCCTGCGCCCAGACCTGGCCTTCAACCGTTGGTAGCAGAGTCCTAAAAGCTGCCAAACCCGGGTGGCTCTCCTGGGTAAGTGCAGACCAAACAGGTTTTATTACATTCATTCCCAAGATCCCCTTATCTGGCCCCAAACAGGCATCTTCTACCACCAGAATGCCCTTTTCAGGCACGCTAATATTCCCAACTGTAACAGTCACTAGGGCATAGCCAATGTAAGGAATCTTTAGCCCATTCGCTGCGCGTAGGGTTAACCATGGTACCTCTTCTGCACTAGAAACCCCTGCCCCTTTCAAATGTTTCTCGAATAAACTTTGGCTCAGCAGAGTTACTTGAGAACCTGTGTCAAGTACAAACGGTATCGCACAATCGTTAAGCTTTACAATGACATCTACACACTCACCAACTAGAGCAGCCCTGGTCCGTGAATGGGGCATTCCAGATGGTGGTGGGATCTTGATGGTGGGCTCTTTGTCCAGGACAATCGCCCCCACTGCTTGGCCCACAGCTGCAGGGGGAATTAAAAATCCTGTGTCTGAGATGCTTTACGGGGGCATCTGCGCTGAACATGCCCTGGGGCTCCACATTTACCGCAGATGGGGCGGCCCTGTGCATCCCATCGGTAGGAAGTGGGATTTTGTAGTCTGTACTGCTGGGTTGGGGGTGTCCAAGGGGCTAGTGGTTGTGGAGGGCTAGAGAGTTGAGCCTTCATTTGTTCTACTAAGTTATTAGACAGAGTTTTCATCTGTTCCTGCATCTCTTTCCGCATCTCTAACATAAGTTCTTCTTTGAGCTGTATACAAATTTGTCCTTTTAGCTCTTCTGGGTCTGGTACGGAGCGCAAGGGTGGGGTGTAGGTCTGGACCCTCTGGCTCACAATGGTATCCCCTTCGTCCTCCAATTCCAATTCTAAAGCACGGGCTTCCTTGCATGCACCAGTAAACGTCAGGTCAGTATTGCGTCTCAATAAGCGAGTTAGCTCTTGTTTCACAGGGCCTCTCTTTAAGCCCACCATGAGTTGGTCTAATAGCAAGTCATTATAACTCTCTGCTGCGGCTCTTTCCAATTCTTGCCATTTGTAAAAATGTTCTCTGAGTCTCAATACAAAAGCATTTATGTTTTCGTCAGCCCTTTGCTTACAGTTGTAAAAAATAGTTCTCAATTGAGATCTTGTTGTGGGCCTATCGTAATGTTCCTTTAAGAAGGCTAAAATCTTACTCCCCGTATCTCTGTTAGCTGCTCGCTCTAATAGTAGCTCTCTTTTTGCTTCCCCCTCCAAGGCAGTCAATATAAAATCAGCTTCTTGCTCTGGGGTTAGCCCTTGTGCTCTGAGCATAGCCTCCACCTGAGCTTTCCATTCTACAAATTTTGTTAGCTCCCCTCCAAATTTTGGGATAAATGCTGCACCCATAAACCAGGGCATAGTGAACTGTGCAGTGATGGAATTAGATCCAGTCCTAGAACTTGTACCTGCTTGTGCCTGCATGTTTAACAGTGGTACGGATCCTGCCAGCAACGCCAAAATTGTCACACAGGGTGTGAGGTTCTTTTTAGATCCGTTTAAAGAAACACCACTGTTAAATAACAAGCCCAAGTAAAGCAGGTTCACAAGCTTTAATATAACATGATATAAAAAGTCTTAAAATATACGACTAAAAGCTGGTGTTAAAATACATAAAAGTCAGTATAAAAAAGATTGAAATCTGGAGCTCCAAAGACCGCAGTCTGTCTCTAAGACTGCGCGCGTGTCCCCGCCTCACGCCGGTATGGGCCCTCGGTTGGTGTCTGCGGAGGAAACACAATTCCGCTGTCAGCTTCTCTCAAAGCTATAGTTCATATTATGCGCCTTGTAGAGCTTATGGGGCCGTCCCTTTAGTCTGCGCTTAGAGAGCGTTGTATAAATCAGCGGTGGTCCCCAGGTCGCGTCCTCTTCACGCCGCCTCAGACTCACACGCTCCCGGTTCCTCCAGAGCACTGGGCACAGTGAAGCCTCAAGGTAGGAGGGGGAAATGGGGCAGAGAGCCAGACCACAGTACAAGTACGGAGTAAGTATATTACACGTCCCTTTACTTAGCTCGTGTGGGCGTTTCTGGGTCTCCTGCCCCTGCAGCCTGGTCCCGCGGATCTGCTGCGACCTGGTCCCGCGGATCTGCTGCGGCCTGGTCCCGCTGATCTGCTCCCGGCCTGGTCCCGCTGATCTGCTCCCGGCCTGGTCCCGCTGATCTGCTCCCGGCCTGGTCCCGCTGATCTGCTCCTGGCCTGGTCCCGCTGATCTGCTCCCGGCCTGGTCCCGCTGATCTGCTCCTTGCCTGGTCCCGCTGATCTGCTCCCGGCCTGGTCCCGCTGATCTGCTCCCGGCCTGGTCCCGCTGATCTGCTCCCGGCCTGGTCCCGCTGATCGCTCCCTCTTCTTCCGTGTGGAATGTCTCTTGTCAAAGTTTTGTTTCCGCACCACCAGACTCCTCCCCCATTCATTCATAATTCCCTTTTTTATAGTGGGAAAGAGCAGCGTCAACCAATTGCTGTCTGGGGGTGTGGGCTGCTCCACAGCCTCTGCCGTAGTCCAATCTACTCAGTCCCATGCAGGCAAAACACTGCAAACTACACTAAAATACACACTTGGATGCAAAAGATAACAACCGAAAGAGGACTACAGCTAGATTAGATGGGTGCCACTGACATATGCGTTGATCACTGCATCTCTGAGTTTGTTTTTCTATCAGAGTTCCCTCGGACAATCTTGGGTATGTGAGGAGGCATGAAATACACCTTTGGGGAATAATAAAGACAAACAGGGCATTTGAGAGTGCGTAAGGCATGCACAACAGGACATTTTACCCTTTCATGCAATTTAGGAAACTCGTTTAGGTGATTAAAAAAAATTATAAAGTGTGTTGTGAAGGGTTTTACAGCCTGAAAACCTATAGCTGCTACTTTGGTGAAATTTGCTTATTGCAGGTTATTTTTAGAATGTTATCCCATGATAAACCACTGTACATCTACATTTTAAGTATTGTATGTCAAAATTCATTTGCAGCAATGTCTCAACAGTGTGCTGCTTGACTTAACAACTCCATTTCCAAACGGCTACAAAAACAATGTTGTTGTATCACTATATTTTTGATTAAAAGAGTTTAGTTCAAACCTATACATACCACTCACAATATGACAGACAAAAATCCATGCATTTGTCTTCAGTAGGTTAGACTACTGTAACGGCCTGCTCACTGGGTTCTCCAAACAAGCTGCAATTAGTGATGTACCGATCCGATATTCAGTATTGTATCGGAGGCCGATATGGGTATTTTGTAAGGATCGGATAATATCGGATTTGTTATGGGGCTTTCACACCGCCAACGCTGAAGCCCCGCTCACCAGACGCGCATTCTCTAGTTTTCAGACGCAGGGGTCTTCACACCAGAACGTCCTGACGCGAGGCTGAAGTACCGGAAGTAGCCGGTGTTCTGTCGAGTTGGTCTGCCCGTCGAGATGCTCAGCTGTTAATGATGTAATGCAAACCAGCGCATTACATCAGCTGAGCCAGATCATCTCGACGGGCAAACCAACTCGAGAGAACACCGGCCGGCTCTGATGCTAACAGCTTCAGAGCCGCTATGCTAGCGGCTTCTTGTGTACAGATCTTCTCCAATATGCAGCTTTGCAGCGTGTCTTTGAACGGAGACGGGCTTTATATAACAGTAGTATGTGTTCACGGAGGTGCGCCAAACGTGTTTTCATATTATTAAACGGTATTTCCGCATCGGTAAACACACTCGAAGCCGTTGCATACGGTCACGGGAGCATGACAACGCAAGCACAGAGTCCCCCATTGTCAACCCTGGTTTGAGTTCTGGTGAAGCCTGGTGTAGCTCCTGTTTTGGCTGTTTACAGTATTTTCAGTCTGCTCTCTCAGTCCGCTAATGTCCCCGTGACCACTTTGCTGCTCTTTGAATGGTTGTCGCACGAACGTCCCAAGGAAAGGATGAGCAGAATCCATCTCCTGTGGGCGTCAATTTTTCGCTCCTGCTCCTCCCTTTTCACTTTGCCGCCAAGTCCGTGCGTCTCTACTGAACAGTCCGTTCGTGCGAACCGAGCGGTCTGTGCATTGCGACGGCCGAACGCGTGTCACCATAGACTTTGCATTGAAACCCGACGCAACGCATGATCCGGTCTGAAAGCAGCATTAATTATGAAGCCGATTTACGTAACTTTTCAGCATGCTCATGCTTTACGGCTGTCGTAAACTAAATACAATGTAAAACTAGGGCTGGGCAATAAAACGACAACGAGATACATTACAATAGACATGTGTTCGATATCAATAGAAAACAGGGTCAATAGAATGTTAGTTTAACATTAATCCGTTAGAAAAAACAGGACGAAAACATAGGAAGTAAAGCCGAGTCAGAAGCGCGCTGCATTCTGGGGGATGTAGGCATAGGCTTCTCGACCTATCGCAGCCAAGCGTGAACCAAAAAACATTCGGGGAAATGCAAAAACAACAACCGCACAATGTACATGGATCTAAAGATTGTTTTTCAATGCTGTGTCAATGGTTATGCACGTCCGTGCGAGGCATAGCATGTGCGGCGCTGCAGAGGCAGTGGACAGAGACCTGATGCACGCAGCGAAAGGACTAACTAACTTGAGCCTCATTCCTCGTGACTGTAAACAAGGCTGCTAAAGTGTGTTAGCCGACACGACAAACGTATTTATTCAGGTAAAAATGCTAAATCTTTAATGCTTTGAAAATATGATAAAAAATTGTATCGGATCGGTATCGGATCGGTATCGGCAAAACAATATTTAGAATATCGGAATTGGATCGGATTACAAAAAATCTGGATCGGTACATCCCTAGCTGAAATGTATTCAAAACACTGCAGCTCGAGATCTGACTAGAACCAGAAAGAACAATCACAAGAGTTCTGTTCTCAAGTCTCTGCACTGGCTTCCTGTGGCTCAGAGAATTGACTAAAGCAGCTCTGCTTCTGTACAAGTCTGTCCATGGCCAGCCTTTAGTTGAGCATACAGATTAAAGATTGAATTTTTACTCTTTTTAATGTACTATCATTATTTATGTATTGTAATGCCTTGTGTGATTTTATCTTGTTTGTGAAATACTTTAGTTGTTTATGAACTGTGTTTTACACAGTTATATTTTGATATTGTTTACTTGAATTAATTGGTCTTGAAATTAGACAAATCAAATCCTTCTACCTGAAGAATGTGCTGTAGTGAGCACACAATGGGCCTCATGTATGAAACTTGCGTACGGCCAAACAGGGGTGTCAATGAGGCGTACAAAAAATTAACACTTTTCGGCATTTATCAATCTGTACGCTCATTTCTACCTTCATTACAACATGCCAAAACACGCATGAAATGCAAGATTTGGAAAATAATACATTAAAACTCAATATACTCACTAACAGGCCTTCTGAAGCTTCAAACTAGACTTGTTGACCGACTCCCATGCTGACCTGCCGTAAAAACGGGGCGTTTTCCGAATATTTCTAGGCGTGACTTTCATAAATACGCTGGTTTTCACCAGCGTATTTATGGCTGTTGAAAAATGCCACGGCTGCGTACGCTCATATCTGTGCGTATCTCACACGTTCATAAATCCCGCCTTCAGTGTGGCGTAAATGAAATATACACCAAAAATATACACCCTTTATTGCGCAACTTTCATAAATGAGGGCCAGTGAACTAGTCCAAATGGATTGCTTCACATGAAATATGACATTTCCATGTTATATTCATCCTAAATAAATGTTTTATTGTTTGCATCTGTATAAATCATAAAGGCCCATGCAGTGGACATTTATTATACAAACACATGTGACCTGTGGCTGTTTCCTGGCTTCAAAATTGCACCAAAGCTCCAACTTTCCTCTGTGTTGTTGGAAAAGGGCTGGCACCTCGTCAGTCCGTATGCTCGCTTATAATAAGCATTTTCTCTCCTTTCTGCTACGTTCTATCTTGTCTTAGGAACACTAGTCATTTACTCTTTGAACGTGGCTCCATACTTATTATGTTATCATACATTTATGCAAAAATAAGACAGCTTTATGGGGCTTTCCACCTAAGAGAGAAGTGTTTGCTTTTTCCTGGCTTGGAGCAGCATGGAAAATGACATGCAAAGGTCTTTGCGAGGAAAACAGAACTACTTATGGATGTGTAACTTGGTAAATACACGGTTATTGTTTGAAGTGATTTGAAAATATGCACAGTTCCAGAAAACAACCAGAAATCCTTGATTGCAATGACTTTAAAAGATTGTGCATTGGCCACTAAAAACCTACTGGTCACATGACCCTCATTCTTCAGCAAGAAGAACTTCAACAAACCTAGCAGGAAATGGGAAGACCCCAGGAGGGACCACGAAGAAGACACCCACTTGGGACTATAGGCTGGAGATCCAGGACACAGGCTGTCATATGAAGAGCACAACACAGGAACTTCTTGCTGTGAGGTACAAGCGCTAACTTCTCATAACTATTGGTTCAACCTCCACAACATTGAGTCATTTGTACACATCATCGTAGCAGTTTCTCATTCCTTTGAACAAATTACAAATGCATTTGGACATGTATCAGTTACTTTCATCCAATTCTCTGCTGTTTTATAACATTATCATTTGCTTTTGTCATGTCAGTCAAAATGAAACATACCACTGCTGAATAATCATTCCCTACTAGTCCTCATTTCATCGCTTGAGGTATAACATTCAAAATTGTGAACTAGTTCTGAAAATCTGTCAAGCTAATTTCATACATTCCTGTATCATTTTTTTCCTGAAAACGTTTTTGCTGTGATGTAGATGAATGTCCATGATGTCCAGGAGTAATTTATGTATTGTTTACATTTGTGCACAGTTCTACCATAATGGCAGTTCTTATGTTTGTTTGTACATGCGTAATTGACTGCGTTGTTTTTGCACAATGCAAAAAGCATATGCAGTAGGGATGGGAATCTTGGGTCTCTGTCCGATTCGATTTACATCTCGATACACTTGTCACGATCCGATTCATTAAAGGTTCACCATCTAAACCCACCGATACGATGCGATTCAATTAAGTACTTTATCACGATGCATCTCGATTCCAGTTTGCCATCTGCTAAGGCTAACTATGCGATTCGATTTTCACACTTACCATGATACCCAACATTTTTACTCAATTAATTTGGTAAACAATTTTAGTTATTTTAAATTAATAAAGCAAAAAAGTAAATGAAAGAATTTATTAGCCAAATAAATCCAAGGCATTTCAAAAATGGCCATATTCTTCAAAATATTACAAAGTGACATTGCAAGGTGCCAGAAAAATATTAACAGTACATTCAAATGTTGACAAAATAGAACACAATGCACTGTGATTAACAGTGACATATTAGTCCTTCCTTAAAACTGTAACTTCAAGTAGAACTTAAAAACAAAGTGCCAAGAACATACTACTTTGTGTCCATTTAAAC